CTTTAAAAATAGGAACTATGTATTGCTCCCTAATTATTATAACATTTTAGTCATAAAATTTAGACACAGATGTCTAGTAGACTTAATCGACTAAAGATGTCACACAGATTAATTTAGGGACGGCCCTTCGACATCAACTTGTGTTTTCCATATATGTAATAGGTCACTTCGAGTGAACTGGGATTGATTTTATTGATTGATTATTTAAAAGAGGAGAGAAATTTATTTTATTGAACTTTTTTGACAACCAGCTTCCATCTCTAATCAAGAACCTTCTTTATAACATCTTTATATTCTCCACAAGCCCTTACAATGTTGATGTCATGGCTTCATAGACGAGTTTGCTGTCGAGAATCAACATCCGGAAAGAACTCGTCGATGGCCATAACTTCAATCTGGCCGTTTCAATTCTCACCACCTTCGGAGTGGTGTCGGAATCTGAAACTGACAAGTGGGGCATATGGTATTTAAGTTCTGAAGTCATCTCAAAAAGGTCAATCTTGTTATTCTCCGATATGATATAGTCTTGGAATTCCAAATGAAAATGTCAACTCTTGTTAAGGAGAGAAGCTGAGACCTTTACATATTATTACGTGGAATTTTATCCTTAACATATAACACACTAGTGAAGATTGATATAGTAGCATTCTCCCGTTTGCCTTCCACGGTAAAATTCCAATTCTTACTAGCTGAGATAAAGGGGAGATTCTCGGGATTTCATGTGTTGCATTCCTATTTCAGACTTATCCCTCAAATCTCGTGTGCAACGTGATACCATATTAAACTACCTTATTTAAAAGACAATAATAGCATTATATATTGACTTCAGGATTGTAGCTTTTAAAGTTGAGAAGGATCCACATTTCTCATTGGAGTTTGTTTGGCCAAGCCTAAGAAATTATAGTATAAGTAACTTTATTATTTTACTTAATAAGTAACTTAGGGATTCTGTATTGCAGTACAGTTATTGTTCGTTGTAATTTATGCTTTTATGGCGTTGGATCCTGTTGACATGAAGTGCTCGACCATTAAGAAACAGATGCAAAACTATAGGATGCAGTACTACGCACAAATATATCGTGTGGGCAAAATGCTTATATCTTACAAGGAAGTAGGAACTATGCACTGCATATCGACTTCAAGGAGGTCTGCCCCTATAGAAAGTTGAGTTGAAAAAATATCATCTTTGTTGAAGATCAGGAAACAGATTTTATTTGCTAATATCAAACACAGTCCAAGAAACATCATAATATCCGAGCTTAAAGTTACCAGAGAAGTACGCCAGCTTCATCGCAAGGAACCAAGAAGCAGGAGAGACATCTTACCCTCAGTTCAGGTCAGGTAATTGAGGAACTCTGCAGCAGTTGCAACCGCACCTCCAGCTATGGCATCCGTTACGATCTTGTCTCGACCGTTGTTGCAGGCTGCTGATATGAGTGCCCCCGTCAATGCACCTCCTAACATGGCATTCTTCTGCAAAATGATCAAGTAATAAATCAATCGAAAATAAACATTTGTTCATCTTACAACGAGCACTAAGCAGAAATGCTTGGACCTTGGAGCCACATAACGTGCTCAAATAATCCAAAACAAGACTAAGATCCTATTGTTATAAATGAACATTGTACTGGTGGCTCACTAAAATTTAACCTCGGGACACTTTAACTAGTAATAAACATCCGGATTCTATGTGGAACTACACAACGTTGTAGTAATAATTAAGAAAATCTGGCGTTAGAATATGATAAAAATTCCACGTTTTTAAAATTCTATTCTTCCTTCCCTTATTGGCTATTGCTAAGAAAGGGTAAAATCGGAGATTGTCAGATGCAATAAAAATCAAAAGAAGCCTAGAACCAATGAAGGAAATAGCAATTATAGGTAGAGAGACAGAGACAGAGACAGAGACTAAGATTATTATTGGTACAAATAAGCTAAAAACATGACAGCTTTCCTTAAATGACTGCCATACAAAGTTATAGTATTTTCAGAAATAAAGACCATTCCTCCTAGACCAGTAGAAGATTAGCTTAAATTATATATGATTGTTTGTCAAATTCATTTGTATGATGAACAGTGTCCTTCAGAAATTACCCAGTCTCAAAAAAGGGTGAAATTGGGGATTGCCAGGTGCAACTCAAATTTAAAGAAGCCGACAACCAACAAAAAATATAAAATTTAGAAGTAGAGACAGAGACTAAGAATATCATCTGTACAACTTAGCTCAAAAACATGACAGATTTTCTTGAATTGGGTGCCATATCATACAAAAGCTAGTTATAGTATTTTCAGAAATTACCCAGTCTCTGGTTCCACGGATTCTCTCAAATCCATACTCCATTCCCACATAAACTCCAGCAACTGTTCCTGTAAGTTAATTTATGAAAAATCACACAATTATTAGAAAGTTATATGATCTACAACAAAAACCTCCCATATTATTATGAATGCAGATGGAACTCACCCCAATATGCACCTTCTTTACACATTTTTTTCAACTGCAGAAGTAAAAATTCCATTAGATGCATACTAAACCAACGTTATGTTTACTTGCAGCAGAAAATAATAACAACTTATAAAGCTAGAAATGAGAAGTCCCCAGACCATTTTTCTAGTATTGCATCTGACAAGTGGCTCTTATCTTAGCGCATCTTTGACAAGGCTATAGGAATGGATTGATCAGATGAAATAGACATTTCAATGCAAAATTTGTTAAGAGTGCATAATATTAGTTCATCCTTGGTAATATATGCTGAAAGCAATGTGTTAACATAAGGTGATTTGTCAAAAGTTCAGTAATTTTCCCTTAACCTTACGAATTTGAGGGATAACCTTACTCAACGCTACCAGAAATATAGACAAGCTTCAGACCTTTGTACGATGATTAGCCATAATTGTTCTCGCCATCTAATGGAAGTCTTTTTCATGTTTGGCTAAGCTTAAAATAAGTAAAAGCTATTTTTAAATAACTTTTTATTTCCAAACACATATTTGGATATATTACTTATTTTTTATTTTTAAATAATAAAAGCTACTTGAAAGTAATTCTTTCTTTACAATCAAATTAAGTATCTTACTTATTTCAAAATTGATCAATAAAAAATTATTTACTTAAAACTAACTTGTTTTCTTGACCTTTAAAGAATAGCCAACATGCTCTAATCAACTTTGCACTAACACAAAAGCTAGCAGTAGTGTGATTATCCACTTTTAGTATTCTCTCAACAAGAACATAATCCTATGGAATGAACATTTCACACAATAAATTTCTCACCGAATGCTCAAAGTTGTGGTGTGAAACACTCCCTGCAAAATTAAAGCAGCAATATGTAAATAAGAACCACAAAACACAAATAATTAAAAAAAATTCTATATAAATAAATCGATATTAGAGGTATCTAGAGATGCCAAAAATTCTCTATAACTTAATTCCCCTTCCAGAAATATTTCCTTTTCAAGGTGATGCTAGGAGTCATCTTGATGCTATTAATCCTTTAATTTAGCCATATATTTCTCCCTTCACTTTTCGACATTAGATCTCCTAACCTGATTAACAAGATATATGCATATATACTTACACACAACAAGAAGTTATTTATCCAGAATTGGAATTTGCAGTCCTAATAACAATTCCTCATTTAAAACCAAGATTAGCATTATACAGCTACCCAGGTATTTAGCTAGAGACTAAATCTTAATTTTCATCAATTCGTATCCAAGAATTTAGCACTGTATTCAAGCCCAAAATTACTCCTAATACTGTTTACATTATCCGGTAATCAACAATTGGAGTTGATAACCTGAGCGACTACTAATAAGCAGGTCCAAGGACATAATCTGACAGTAGTGTGCACAAGATTTCAAAATTTCATCCTAAAAGTCATGCTAAACAAGCTTATTTTGTTGATCAAATTTTTTCAACAATCAAAATTAAATATTCATAATTAATTGGGGAAAGATTTCAACAACTTAGTGAGAGAAAAATAAAAATGGAAAACCTCGTTTAACAATGGAATATGCTTCCTCCGCAGCTACTTTTGTTGCAGCCACCTGAATCGGTAAACGAAAAAGGGAATACAATTAATAACCAAATTTCAATAAAATATTCAGATACCCAAAGAAAATTAAATAAAAATCATTCAATCCAATCAAATCTAATCCAATACGACAAAGAGATCAGGAGAATTTACAGTGCCTATCTTCAAAAAACCATCAACAGTGAGATTGAGAAAGGGATTTCCCAAGTCCACAATGATGTCCACCTTCGGAGAGGTGACCGACCCTGAAAATGTACTCCGAGGCATCTCCTCTATGAAATTCTTCTTAACTGTATCTTGGGTTCTTCACTGATTACTGTGAGTGTGAATCAAGATTTGTTTGTATCTCCAAAAATCTCGAAGGATGGCATCCACGTGGAGGATTGATTGTGGTTGCGCTGTCACATGGTTGAAATTGAAAAATATTTATTTTTACTTATTTAATTTTTTATTTACATATAAAATTTAAATTTAAAATTATGAAATAGAATAAAATTGAGATGAGTTTGAGGCAAGGCTCATACCCCCAGACCCAGTTGCTTATCTGATTTCTAGTCGAAGTGTCCACCGTAAAAATCAGACCAACAAATCATTTCATCGTTTTCACCTCCAAATATCACTAGCTTTAATAATCAAACAAGAGCTAGAGATGAAATGGCTACGTGGGCGGGAAATATTTGAATTGTATGTGTTTTTCGTATTTATAGATTTCCTTTCAAGTAATGAACTAATTTGATCATTTTAGGAGAATGACAAATGGCGACTCCTTATTGACTATTTAGTAACTAATTCGGTTAAGACGGTCACGCTTTACATGCATCTTGACAACCTGAACTAACCTGGACATATGAGCGATTCACATTATTTTATGAGAACTTTTTATGCCTTCATTCACCTTGCGGACCGCTTTATGCCTCGCAAGGAATTCATTAAGGTTCACAAAGCGAATTTTTTGAGTTAACACGGAGCAAGAGCGAGGCATTTTATCATCTTTATATTCTTTTTCGTTTTACTTGAAATTAGCAAAATGAAGGATTTTCAATTTTCTAGATGAAGAAAAGAAGAATTGGAGAAAATCTATTATCTTTATTCGATATTTTGTATCAATTAGAAGTTGGGAATTTTTCATAGATGTCACTAAATTTAAAAATACACCAAAATTTGTCAATTTTACGAATGGTGCTAAAAAATGTCACTTTTGTGTGAAATGTCCAAATTACCCTTAGTGATACCTTTTAAGAGCATTTATGCTCATTAATGCTTTTTGAGTGCATATTAATGCTATGATGTGATAATTTAATTTCTATACTATAAACATTGAATATATGTATATTATATTGGGTAATATAAATTTTTTAATCAAAAAGAAAAAAGATAAAAAAAAAGATTTTGAAAATTGAGTATAAACAGTTTTCTTCTACCATTAACAAACCCTAATTTTCTTACCACATTCTCCATTCCTTCATTAAGAAGAAATTACTATTGGATTCATCTTTCATTTTGAGAGTTACTACTTTGGAAATGTTAAATACAATTTGGTCATATTTATTTGAAATTTTTGGAATTATTATTCATTGATTTGTTTGATTTTTTAAATCTTTTGGAATAAAGATATCAATATCCTCTACAAAATATTGGGAATGATTTCTTATTTAATGAAGCGTTGAGTTATTTATTTGGGAAGAAGTTGTTATGTTGTAGTTGAGAATTGATAATCACTATTAATATTTTGAATAATCTCTTCCAATCAAATCCAATAAATGTTTTGAACGATTGCCTCTTTAATGATTCACTGTACAAGTTATTTGGAAAGAAGATTTTGTCATTTAGGAGCACAATGTTGATGACTGCACTTAATGCTATGAAGAATTTGCTCTAATCACACACATTACATGCTTCACGCCGTTTCGACAATTCAACTGTAGAATTCGACATTTCAAACCGTCGAGATAGATATTTTAATTGTCGAATTCGACATTTGAAATTGTTGGGATATACATTTCAATTGTCGGTTTTACATGTTTGCAATTGTATGGATTTAAATAATCGAATGTGTCACTTTCATGCTATTAAATGACAACATATTGATTATGCAGCATTTTTACCATTTCAATCTCAAATTTTTAAATATGAGTATTCATTTGAAATTCNGAAGATGAAGAAGAAAGCCATGCCATGTTTAGTAAACAACTACCAAATCACAAGTTATTGCTTGAGTGACAATTGGTGTGATAGTTTATGGTCTATATGTACTTTTATCCACTAAACATTGTCCATAATTTGTGAGAAATGTGAATCTTAAATCATGAGTACAATTTTTCATTTATTAGTTGTTGGTAATTAATGATTATGAGTACTTTTTTTCTTACATGTAGCACTTACCCAGGGGCTGACACAGAATTTTAAAGTTAGGGGGGTACAATCGAACTTGTAAAAAAAAATTGGGAGAAATTTTACAATCGAAAATTTACGTTCAAAAAAATTATATCCCATGTAATTTTGCATCCGAAAATTTACATAGGATACAACTTTTTCATATGTAAAATTTCGAAAAAAATTTATGTTATATTCCATATAAAATTTCCTAATAATATGATTTGAGAAATTTCTATCGCAAAAATAATAAATGTTAATAAAATAATTGATTTTTTTTTTAAAAATGCGAGTTAGACGTTTTTCTTTAAGACTTATGTTTAACGTATTTTTAACTATTTTCGATATCTGTTTGAACTATTCGATATGCCCATAATGTAGTTCTCGAAATAAGTTTTGAGATGACATAAGCAATTTGTAGATTCGATTAGCGTACGATCGTCGGAGGATTTTTAAAATTAGATTGTGATTTTGCCCCTGTATGGTANCAGTTCGCGAAATAAGTTTTGAGATAATATAAGTAATTTGTAATTCGATTAGCGCACGATCGTCGGAGAATTTTTAAAATTAGCATGTTATCGAAATTCAAATTTATTGTGATTTTGCCCCTATTTGGTGGAGATTAAATTCAAATTTTTAGTAAATTTTGATAAAAGTTAAATAGTTATGGATTCCATGAAATATGTTATTAAAATTAATTGTTAACTTTGATTTAGATTAAAATTTAAATTTCAATCGATACCAAACACGACTTTAAAAAAATCTCAAAAGGGGGGCACATGCCCCCCAGGACCCCCCCGGGTCTGCCAGTGCACTTACCTGAAGAACATATCCTTTACTATTAGGGAACATTCAAGATGAAAGAACATGATTTAACTAGTTTTATTAATATTATTTATTTTACTTATGATATGTGTACCATGTGTGATATGTTAGAACAAGAAGAGCAATCGTCCTGAGATATTTAAACTTCTCATAATTAGAAGATTTGTTTATGGAAATAAAATTCAACCTACTATTTAACCTAGGGGGCGACGTGAACGAGGAAGAACATATCAAATTCTATCTTTCACCATAAGAAGGAGGCTATCAAAATATTCAAATGTAATTAACACAAGAGATTGAAGATTCAAAATTCGGGTTGAAGATTAACGAAGAAGAAAATGATTTTTCATTTTCCATTCATTGTTAATCTTCAACCCGAATTTTGAATCTTCAA